AATGTGGTTTTATCCTAATGAAACCTCTCCATTCGACATTCGGAAGACTACTCAGATAAAATATATATTAAGCACGTAGTTTGGGTTGTGTTGCTAGGGATTAACCGAGGTGTTTTAATCTACTAACACAAACATTAACAGAGCAAAACAGACAAGCCAATGTTACTGCAGGCTGTAGTTTAATTTTCAAAAGGGGTAATGAAACACAGTTTCTAAGAATGGTAATGTTTGTAACTAAGGACTTCACATAACTATTTAAAACCACACAAGTGGGGTAATGTTCCTGATAATCTCTCAAAACATTCTGTAAAAACGCAGCTTGAGCCTGTAAAGACTAGAATTCACAAGCAGTCCTGGTGACTTCCAAGGTAAGCATTCTCAAAAGGCAGAGTGCTGCAGAAAGCTCTTTGCTTTTTTTTTCAGAGAATGCTCAATAAAAGTGCAATATAGTGAAAAAAATAATCTCATTATTATGCTTTTATTATTAGATTAAAAATGTTCAGATATTTTATAATTGTGCCTTTTGTAGGGTGGGCATTCTGGTTTGAGTAGAGTGAGACCATGTTAGAAAAGTCAGGCAGGGTACACCCACATGTTTTCTTTCCAGGGTGGTGATGCCCCAAAGCAGTTCCACTGTGTAATCCTATCGACAGCTGAAACACTGTGCTGCCCAGCTTCACACGGTTCTTCTCTTTTGGCTAAAGTTGGCACTTTTTTTTTGCATTTCATTTCCACCCAGGCATGTTCTCCCTTCCAGCTCCTAGGCACCCTTCCTTTCCCCACCCAGCCTCTTCTCTTCCTGAGATGTCAGAAGTATACATTAAGCTTCGGAACCTGAGAATTTGGAGGTATTTTTTGATACTACAGGGCTGCATTTGTAGTGTACCATGTTATCTCCTGCTACACTATTACAGTTACAACATAAAACGTCTAACTAGTTGATACCTGGTGCCTTTCCCATATAAGCAAAAGCCAGTGTACTATTTAGCCACTAATATATAACACTTGCTATAAGGGTGACCTTTACCTTCTGCAAGTCCTCTTTTCCAAACAAATGCTGAGGGATCATTTCCAAAAACCCAGCTATGAAGTATTAGTTGAAGTAAACAATTTCACAGTAAACTAAAGTAAAATATATCTGGAAAATAGCACTCTCTCAAAATTAAAATTTATATACATCAAGAAGCTGCTGAGATTTTTTCCTCATTCTTCATCAGTTCTACATCATCTGCAGATAAGCAGGATTGCCACTAAGACGTTTAAATAGGAAAAACAAGTCTAGTGAAGTAAGCGTCATGTCTTTTTTAATACTCTTGAGAGATCAAGGAAATTCAGCATTCGACTTTTTCTTTAATGAAGGTAGCAAAAGACTGTTTAAACCTAATTCCCTATGGTTTTGAGTATCCAAGACTTACATCTTTCAATGCACTCTGAAGAAGCCACGCATCTGAACTTAGTCACTTCTGGGTACCAATTAAAGTTTTCCATGGATGGGACTCAACCATGAATCCACTATTTATCCTTCTTGTTTCATTATTTGTTTTATAATTTTTAATAGATTAAGCTGGTTTAATATTTATCACAAATTGTGTGCTATTTAGCAAGACTGAGCTTTAACTGCACCTGTAATGAACATATATGTATATAAGGATTTATGAGCTGAGTTTAACGTACTAGAACAGAAATATTTAAGACATTAAAATTGTACCAGAACATTCATTTTCTTTTCAAAAATCTGTGATGAAAAGATGCCAATAAGTGTTATTTAATTTTGCATACTAAACTACAGAAAGACTTGGATGCATTATAGTTAACTCTTTTCCTATGGACTGGAAAATTGACACTCACACCTCACAAATCTTTGGATAGGTAGTGAGATCTGATGCACTATTTTTAGCATTCCTAGTCACACAAATTTTTTGATGAAATTTGTATTCTATATTGCATGGTATGCAATGCTATTGAATATGCTATGAATAGCTTCAGCTTGTTGTTTGGGGTCTACTCTAACTACTTAACTGAGGTCTAATTTATGGCAACTTCCATGAGAAAAAGTAAGTGGACTGAGATGCTAACACCAAAGTGTAATTCCTTTAAAGAGAAATATTATTCTCCATTCACATCCAACATGTATTCTAGTGATTAGCCCCATAGAAGTCAGTAACAAGTGGCAGATCACTACCTTCAACAATTTCACTTGAGGACTATTTTGAATTGTTGTAGTTTTTGAAATGGGAGAATATATTTTTCTTAAAAAAAATTGCTTTTATGTGAGATGGAGTATTAAACTTGTAAACTGTCAACTTAGCTAATAAAAAACAATGCCTGAAAATTGCAAACCCATTAACAAAGAGCAGTCATTAAATACTCTGATGATAAATCTGACTCAAACACTTGCAGCAAGGTTTTTAAGGTCATCTAAATGCCAAAGGTACAGGTAGGCATTTAAAAACTTATTCCTCAACAATTACGTGCCTACTTCCAACTGACTGAAAAACCTAAACTTTCTGGCAATCCGCTAGATGCCTCTATGTATCTTTCAGTTTCTAAATGAACTTACAAGCTGGTGCACAGTACAGTTACAAGGACTTTTCACGAATACAACTTCCTGTAGACAAATACCATATTTGTGCCATGCAAAAGACTTTTAAAAGCAGACACTCGGGAATAATTTTCCAGTGTCTGACTTAGAGGCCTGAACCGTCTCCTCTGGTTCTGTGAGAAGAGATGATCAAGATCTAGAAAGCTTGCTGGTGCGGGGGGAGGTGGGGCACTGGAATCCCAGGCTGGCCTCCAGGTGCTCTCGGTGGAAGGGGATGTACAGCATGGCTGTATCATCGTGTCGCTGCATGTATGCATGGTCCATAGCATTGTCAAATTTTAACAATGGGCATTTAACAATTGTGACAGTTTAGAGAATGACCTTTCCATTTAATTAAAGCTGTAAAATGGCTTCACATTTCTGGGATTAACCTTTTTAGATGGAGATGGGTGTTCCAGAAAGGGATTAGAGTACAAATGAATGGTCCCTCAATTTTAGAAACTAAGCAGCTGTAAAAAGAAAGTTGTAATTTTGAAGCACAATTAAACTGGTGAATTGTATAGTCTCTTATGCTGACTTTTAAATTACACTAAAATATTTTGAGTCATTTACAGATCTGCTCAGTGTAACATGATTTATGTTTTCCAACACAAAACTGGTTACTAACTTTTATTTCAAAAAAGCTCACCTCACTTGTTTTGGGAAGGGGGTAATTTAGATTGCTGTAATGGACAGCAGGATCACTTTTAACTTTGCATTAAATTGCATCAACTTTCTTGAAAACATAGGCTTGTGATTTCCATATTCCAATCCTTCACTAGCAACTGAAATATCTCGAGTTAAAAGTATGCGGTTGATTCTATGTGGATCTACATTAAATATAGGGCACATAAGAAAAAATCTTAGCGTGTTTTGTTACAGGGCACCCAACTAAAATCTTTACAAAAGATAAGATAATTATCCATTCTTCAATGTAATAGACACAGATGCCGCTTTTATAAATGTACCCTTATGTTCACTTGCCAATAAAATAGTAAACAAATCAACTTTTTAAACCATTTTTTATAAATTATTAGAGTATTTTTACTGACACTCTCCAACAATATACAAAAATAATACTACAAGAGTACCAATCAGTCTGACCTACCCCTCATTTCACAGAAAAGAAGAGGTTATGGAAGGATGTTCTGGTAATCAATCATCACTGTAGATGTCTCCTGCAAACGGTAAGTGTACGTGGCTGCCTGTGACGTTGGGAAGTCGAGAGAGATCAGGCAGGTTCTGGATGCGTGACCTGAGTTCTTTCCGTACCTGGGACACTCTTGCCAACTTGCGTTTGTACTCCTGCAATGCAGAAGAATCCAACATGAGGCTCTTTTCTAAGACTATCTCTGCTACATATTGTGCTTGGTGCTTTCCAAATAAGGCGCTTTTTCTGCAAGTTAGATGTCTAAACATCTTTTAACAGGTGAGGACTCAAACAACTGGGTACTTTGGAGGCAGAGGCATCAGCTCTAGCATCTTCTCAGCATCTGATTTCAGAAGCATAGCCATGGGATTATTTTGCTTTGAATTTTAAGCACATAAACACTAAACAAGGAAGACAATCTCAGTTAACAAAATGACACATTTCTGCATGTGACTAGTAGAATGGGATTATTCTTAGAAACTGTATTAAGGGTAACCGATACACATGCTCTGCTATCACCCACAGAGTATGGGAGGATAATCTTACTGATGTCAAAGTAGTTACTTGCAGGTCATACTGATGAAAGAATAAAAAACAACCAAATACTATCTAACCAGGCCTTTTTATCAGCCCCAGCAAGCTGACCAATCACAAGTATTTTCTATTAACTTTTATAATAAGAAGCATATTACATCAATACATTTACAGATCTAACCCTCAGGTTTTTAGGAACTTTTGAAGTTGGGGACTTAGGTCAAACCACTCCTGATTCATACATTTAATGATTATGAGGCACTTTTCACATGAAACGTTATACAAGATGAAGTATTTAACATGGCAAACCAGTGCACTAGAGTATCACTAGTGCTCACCTGTTAAGAATGACACTTAATGGAGAAGAATGTCAGCTTGTATAAAATGAAAACAGTTATTCCAAAATGTAGAAGGATTAGGGAACAATTTACAGGAATATTTAAATTTCAAAAACTTGGAAACATATTTCTTTGGAGAGCAGAAGAGAGTAAGCATTAGCGGGCAAAGAGTCACCTCACGGAAGTATACTGTAATACACAACACATCAAATGCAGATGCTTTCTAGTGTGGCTGTTTTGCTGCAGCCTGGGAATGACTGGAAAAAAACAAGAAAAATTCCAGAAAGTGCAAAACTGTTGTGCAAATGTCTACAAAAGATAACAATCATGCTATTTACAAGGTCTAAACATAATTGTAATCTTTTTTCTATACTGTTAATAGCATGAAATAAAAAGAAAGGCCAATGAAAAGACCTTTCAGTAGTAGAACCCAATACAGTAGTACAAATAATTAAATACCTGGCAAATGATGATTATTGGACAAGGTCCAACATACATAAAAATGAAGTTTGTGACTATTAGCAGCAGCGTGGCCTTCTCACCAAGGGCAGAAAGAGAATCACAAGAAATCTTAAATTCTTAATGAGAAGGTAATGCATAGGTAAAAAAAAAAGTAGTACACAGGGCAACGCAGTTTTCCTTTTATGATGCAGATGACCAGAAGTCTTACAACTCCCAAGTCCCTTGGTCCTAGGAAAACTGTCACTCGCTGACACTTGCCCTGAACATTCTCTCGGGCACAAGTGAGTTAAGGGCATGGCTGCGGAAATGAAGGGCTGTATCCAGACAATGTGGCCTTACGGTAATGCCCACAGGGCCACAAGTACTTTACTGTTTCATATCTGCTATAACTGCAGCATCCACAGGCCTCAGAATCTTTCTGATTCTGTGCAAGAGTCATAGTCCTTTGCCAGCATGTAAAAAGCCAGTAACAAAGTAGTTGTTGCCCTTTGCACTATCTATTTTAGTCCAGATTGCAGAGATACACTTCTGACTATTATTTTAGGGAAGAGATTTGAATGCCAAAGGAAAAAGGTAAGTTTCACTGTCTAGTAAAACAATTTGGCAATACACAGAATACTGGTTAACCAGAAACACTGTTTTCAGAAGCAGGATGGCTGGAGATTGAGCATTGGGCAACAAGGGCTTTGCACAAGCTTGAAGCTAGGAGACCTGGCCTCCATTTTGAAAGAGGTACCACTGTACAGAAGAGGATGAGTAAAACATAAGCAGAACCAAAACACTCACAAGGCCCCAAATTTGTAAAAGAAATTAACTATAAAATCATTCCAGCAGTTAATTCTTGTAAAAAGTGTTTGAATCAGCTGAATGCTGAGTTAATTCTCTGTCAAGGAAGAATGTGAGGCATGAAATCAGTATCCCTTCATTGGCTCAAAGCGTGACACTAGGCAAATACGCACAGGTCACACTTAGCAGCTGTATTCTCTCTTCACTCCAAAACCTGAAATATGCCTTAAATTAGATTGCCAGTTGCCTGACTCCATTAAAATCCCCTTTAGCTGATAATACATCACTTCCATAGTAACATCACACTTCTGACATCCAGCATTGTCCATACAGATTTCACCTGGGACCTGTTGTCTAGTGAATGTCAGCTTGATCAAAATTAGTAACAGGAGGTTCCTTTTTCTCACTAAGAAAAATGTTCTTATAAATTGGGTCTCACATATAACATAATCTTCTTCCTCTTGCCAACACCTTTAGCATAACACGCACTCTTGGGGAGTCAAAACTTGTTCCTTGTGCCTTTTCAGAAATAGAGACCTCTGAGAAAGTTTGCTCAAGGTTTTTACTATAAAACTAGAGTAAATTAAAAAATTACATAAAGTTTTACAGTTCTGTCTACATTTAGCCCATCTCTATGGCTAAACTATTGCAGTTGCTCTATCACCCAATGACCCCTCCCCAGCAGAGAAGGGATACTGGGAAAAGGGGAGAAGAGTTGGAGGCTGAAATGAAAACACAGTTAATGAAAGGGCATTGCGAATATAAAGTATACAAAGTTACCCTCAGCCCAGTTAATGATTTGCAGTCAATGAATGGGAAAGCAGTCTTTGAAAGCAGGAGGGGGAGCCTGAACTCAGGATGATGTTTATGGTCTGGGACACACCATGAGCCAACTGGAGTCAGCTGTCCTGGCTGACTCCAAACTGCTAAAAACACACAGACCATAGCTGGCCTATGATTCTGTCTCAGCAAAATCAGAAAAATATTACTGATGCAGTATAAACTACAGAATGCAATTTTAATACAGTTTTGGTAATCTAAGTCATATGTGAGCTCTGCAACTACGGGTTAGATATCCATGACAATCCCCTCCCACAAGAAGAAATTTTATTTGCTTTACCTAGAGCACCTCATTTTCCATGACACTCCATTCTAGACGTCATTGGAAATGTCGTTTTCATGACTGGTTCAAAAGAGAACCGATTTTGAAGTATAGTGACTTGGCAGTTTTGAGCTACTTTCAAAGGGGCGGCTTTTCATATTTGATCCTATTTAAAATCACTAGACAGTTGTGAAAGGGTGTGTTTATATATTTTTAAGGCTGCTAATATAGTCCTAGCATTACCTAAGTAGTCCTAGACTGTTGAAATACAAGTATCACGTTATCAACAATAATCATTATATGTAGTCAGTGTATACAGTGAGAGTACAACCTTAGTTAAGCAGAGGAGTGGGAATGGGGATATATGTAGGTGTCATTCCTGATATTGTTGCTCCATTAGAAATGCTGTATACTATACAACCAAATAACTATTTACCTATGTTCTTGACACTTTGGGGGAAGTGTAAAAAAAAAAAAGTCTTTGATAAATTGCAGAAATCCTCATGGAGAATTTCAATTTAATTTTCATTATGTTAATTTTAAGATATATGTTAAATTATCCCTGTGTAAATGAGACAAAATTCAAGCTATTTCCTTCAAACAGGCAAGGAGTACAAGGTTTTCTTTTGCTACAGAGAGCATAATTTGCATTGCTTGCTACCTATGGAGAACTTCACTCTTGGGATATATGGGCAACGATGTACAGAATTAAAGTCACTTCAATTTTTTCAGCAGTCTCAGATAACACTACTTTGAAGCAATAACTTTTGTACCTCCAGTCATAACAGTAGGTTTATAACATAATTAGAGGAACTTATTTTGCTCATTAGAATCCTACTGATTACTATAGTTTCCACTACTTGACAGTGCAGAATATGGATATTTTGTGAAAGCAATGCTAACAATGTATGGATTTCACACCTAGATTAATAGTCATTATCTATCAAGTAAGTACGAAGCAAAAAAGCCAAATAATTTTTGATTAAACACTACAATCACCATGAATAATAAAAATGCAGGCAGACCAAACAGGCTGTGCACTGTAGAGAACACATTCCAACTGAAACAGATCTTTATAATAGTTTCTGCAACTACCGTAGAGAGGTGCTACAGCTAACACAACTGGGAACTCATGGATGTGCTTTGCCTTTACAATATTAATATGACTTTGAATTCTCATCTGATCACTGCGGTTATGGCATACACCAGAACACTGCATGGCAGAAAACGTATAGCAAAGCAAAAGAAACAAAGTCTGATTCCAAAGCAAGAATAAAAGGTTTGCAGAAAACACAAATATTTCATCTGCACCCTTGTTAGCTACAGAAAGCTAAGGTGGAAACAAATACTCTCAATATAGAAAAACAAACCCAAAAGCCTTAAAAGCCTTTTAAAGTGTTGAGGGCATGTGTGCACATCAGCATTCATGGCATATATGTACATGATATTTAAAACTGAGGTCTCTAACTTTCCAGGTCCATCCCAACCTGTGCCACAGAGCAAAGGTCTCTCAAGTGCTGTGTCCAACAGCACTGAAACCACTAGAAAACTTAAAAGGCTCAGATTAAAGCAAATAGCATGTGATATCTTGATATCTAGATTTTGAAGTTCAGGAACATTGTATTTGTTTACAGACTCCACCTTGTTAAAATGCCTCACCCAGTCCGGGTGTTTTTCTGGAAGGAGTCAGATAAGCCTGTTACTCTGAAAAACAGATAAGCAGGGTTAAATTTTGTGCTGCCTTAAAAAATTTGGCAGGGCCCCCATGTTCTTCACTAGTATGATTAAAGGCTCAACCTATCTACCAGTGTTAAGGATGAGAAAAACCTTGAAATAACTGTCATTTAAGACACTGAACAACATCTGAACACATCTATATGCTTCATACAGACACAAGGTTAGAAAATGAAGTACAGTTATGAGAAGTTTAGGA